CCCCACCGCCACGACAAGGCGGGAACCGTTGGTGGGGAAGAAATTCAGACATGTGCGAAGTAAACCAACCCGCACTTGGCCAGCGTGGTTGAGTATGGCCTAGTCATCCCCTTATTTAAGGTAGGTTCGAGTCCCTCGGTGGGTACGTATAGTATAGCTGGTGATGATGTATCAATTGGACTTATTGCGGACGAAAGAAACCCACGGGGATATGTCTGCCGATACATAAAATTGTTCTAAGTCTTTTACTATATTGTGGGCCTATCTAAAGTTTGCATAGTACTGTACTAAGGTGAGCTGTTACCAATTGTGCAACGATTTCCTTCGCTGACCACATATAACACAAATGGCACGCCGCATAGTTTACAGCGGTTTTCAATTAATCCTTTAGAGGATTGATTCTATAGATAGTTTCTCCATTTAGTTTCTACACTTTGATGCATATCCATTACCTATGCCAAATAAAGGCAAACTTTATTGACTTTGAGTTAAAACCATACTTCATACTAAAATTATAATAGATCGATGTTTGTTACTAAATCCAAACAGCTTAACGGATATCGCTGAAACTTTGCATAGATGTAGACCATAGTCTGGAAGAATACTTGGGATGGTTACTAAGTTTTTTTAATTAAATTCATTTTTTTTGATGTATAAATTAGTTTTTAAGCGTTCGTAGTCAACCCCGATTCCACCTGATTAAGTGGATTAATTAAGGTTTACACGTACCGATTAACTTTAAAAGAATTGGGGACTTCTTACAAAAATCATATAAAAATTAACAGAAAACACCATTCATTTATCATAAGAATGTATATGTGGGTTTTGTAGGTAGGAATAAAATATGAAAGATAAGCATGGTATTAAAAATCTCCGCTTAGATTTTTAAAATCAGATCTCCACGGATTCTATCCCGTCAACAATAAATCTGACAATAGTGAGAAGATTCCTCTTTATTGTTGCCAATTTAAGAAACTCGTTTCAACACCCGCAGGCGAGGGCGACGTGGCGTCTTCCGGAAGTCGACATTTGCGTCTGAATAGTCTTACATTAAAGACGCGCTCGCTCAAGTGATTTTTAATTTTTTTCTTGTTTTTTTTTTTAATTAAAAATAAGTGCAAGGAAGTGAAATATTATTTAAGTAATTGATTTTGAATTTTTAGGTCCGTTCTGTTATATGTAAAAATTTTCATCATAGGTACTTCTGTAGTAAGGGTCAATTAACAACAAATATTGACTAACGAGAGCGAAAACCGTTGTGAAGTTTTATTGTTAAAAATTTTCCGAACAAGTTGCATGTTCCATGTTGATTCACGTTACTTTTTTAATATAAAGGAAATTGAAATATTTTGTATTTGTTGAAAATGAAATAAAATTGTATTTTCGCAATTCGGATTTCTATTGTTGGTTCAATGCAAGTTTTTTTTTTAATTATTTTTGTTTTGTTTCAGGACGATCCGGTGCCTTCCACCATCGAAGACAAGTTCGTCCCTGTAAGTGTGCCACCTCGCATCGCTTCTATTGATGAGAGTCCTATCAAGGTTATTCCGTTACCACTGGATGTGGGATTGCACACCCGACATGTGTCGCCTATGTACCCGAGGAAGCTGAAACCTGAGGCCTTGTATGACCGCCGACAGGGCTACAATCATCGTTTTGCTAGTCCAAGGCTCCTACATCTAAGCCCATGCCGCGGCACCCGCCCTTCCTCACGG